ATATATTTACAGTGGGCTTCAAAAGGAACTTGAAACTGCAATCACCCAGTCATCGTGTTAAAGCCTTGTACGTCCCGTTCACGTTACATACCAATGTAAAGCTAAGTAAACCGAGCAAAAGAAACGCAAAATCATGTTTACCTTCGTAATGGTGATAATGTTCGTTTTTCCATTTTTTAGAAAACGGGGGAACTTAAAAACACAAACTGTTTAACAGTATTAAGGGATACGTGAGGTATCACTGTGAATATCAAGTTGCACCGGAATACATTTTCTACTTCTGGTTAATACATCAAAATGCTCAGTAGCAGGTATGGCCACAATTAGATCGGATAACCGCAGTACATCTCCGGTGTATAGAAGTCACTAGGCTGTTTGTAACATATAGCGGGATCTGCCTCCATATTCTCCTGGATGGCCACTTCGAGTTCCTGCGATGTTCTCGGCCTTGATTGTCTCCCTTCGAGGGCGCCATTTAGTTTCGTCCCAAAAACGCTCAATTGGGTTTTAATCCAAGTATATGGGCAGGGCAAGGCTACAGAGGGATGCCTTGGCTTTGGAAAAGCTGTGTGTGCACGAGCATTATCTTGCTGGAACCGGAAATTAAAATTTTGTCTGTGTAGAGGGGTTTAAGAAGTTCTGCTATGTAACGGGCAGCATTGATACCTCGACCTTTACCTTGGCCTTGATTTTGGAAGATCGCTGGTCTTGCTTTGTGATTCTACATGATTCCACCCCAGATCATGACGTGATGTCCTCCCCAGCGATTCCTCTTTATGACACAGTGGTAACAAAAACGTTCGCCTCCGTTTCGATAACTCTGAGGCTCCTGTTTGTTGTACCTATAGAGAAAAGGCATTTGTCCGAAAACGAAAACTGATAACCAGTCTCTCAAACGCCTGTTGACATGGTGCTGAGCCCTGCTGAGACGCTCTTGGCATTGGCGTGCAGATAAGACTGGACGATGGTAAAGTCGATTGCGTCTACGGCCTCCCTGGACGCAATCGTCAATTCACTGTGTTTTATGGCACTTCTGTAAGTACCCCATATCAAATCTGAAGTTCCTTAGCTGTCTTAAGTCGAATTGCACGACGCATCCGGACAATTTGTCTGTGTGCACGTATATCGGTCAGTCTTGGTCGACCTCACCTTTGTCAGTTCGCCGTACAATTCATGAGCTGAAAACTGGTTATCAGTCTGTGGATAGTCGAGATGTGAATACCAAAATGATTTGCGGCCACAATTGGCCTCTCTCCACCCTCCAAACAGCATATTGCTCTTTATAGCTGTATAGCCCTTAAACGTTGAATTGTCACTGCAAATGCTGGCGAAAAGACCGAACCGATGTTTTACCACGGCTTTCATAACCGAGTTCAGGTGAGTAGTTTTCACCCTTTTTTTCCATTCATTTAAACCATGTTTTGAAGGCACCACGTGGCTTTTTCCATGCCCCAATTAAGGGGCAATAACTCTAGTTTCCGGTGACAAGCAAGACGGGTGACTATTGATTTCAAAGGGCATATCTTCTACCATTGATGGTTACTTAACTATGGCAAAAATAGTTTTTCGCGTTACTTTTGCTCGTTAGTATATATTCTGCATCATCTGACAATGATATTTCATTTATGTTAAGTGACACCCGAGATAAGGTCACTCAAAAATGATCTGAAAAAATCAGGTTTGGCAAACTTGTGCGAAATCAAAGAAACGTAAAATAGTCTTTGCGCGTGTATTCAAGAGCACTAATATTGATAGAATGGATACATTGCGTATCCAATGAATGGCGAATGTTGTCTTTGCAATGAACAAAATTGTGTTTCGATAGTTTCAAACAAAACTGAAAACAAAGCAATCTCAAATACCACGTAAAACTTAGACTAAATATTAAATGCGCTTATAGTTATTTTGCTTAGGAGCCATTGGTTTTGTTAGGCCACAAACGCTTTGGGCAGCTGCTCTTTTAAATTTTGGACACAATAATCTGTCCTTTCATACCAAACGTCACAGACAGTTGAAACAAAGGGTCTGAATTGAAAAAAAAGGTTGCTTTTCTTCAGCTGTTGCTTTATGGGACTCCACATACCTATAGGATTCATATCGGAGCTACTTACTGGTCACCGCTCCAACGTGGAATAGATTTGGTTTGCCATATATTATCAAGAGGCATTGGCCATGTGAGAAAGTGCTTTGCCATGCATGGAGATACCTACTTGACTGACACCATGACGAAAATAAGGGTAAGACATGACGTTCCAGCACTTGCGCGATGTAGTCCACTAAACCAAGCCACCCAGTAATTCACAAGAGGGAGACTTTGTTTATTCCACCCCAGACCATCAATAACGACGGGTGGGAGTTTCAGGGCCTCTGTTCCTCCCTGACTGATGATTAATTTAAAATCTAACTTACAGTCCATGTGCAAACAAGATTTCGTGCTCTATACGAAACCAGTAGCTCCTAAACAAAAACAAAATTATACTAATGAGCACATGTAATGTTAAGTTCAGGTATTGAATTGTATTTGTGACTACTCTCTTTTCTAATACGTCAGAAGATGTTGTTCATTGCAGATATAATACTATTATTCTCTTTTCGTTTGATACTCAATACATGTCCATTCCACCAATGTTAATGAAACCTCAATACACTCACGAACACACTTTTATAATTTCTTTGATTTAGCACAATTTTGCCAAGCCTGATTTGTATAGTTAATTTTGAAATATTAATGTCTCAAATGATACAGAATTTATTTAACTTTAAATTAGTATGTTGCAAGAGTGGGAAGTGCAAGGCTTTAACACGTTTCAAGTTTCTTTTGGACGCCATTGTAAATATATACATATTA